ATATATATATATATATATATATATATATATATAAAACAATGAATCCTATGGTTAGTTGTATGGTGTATTTGTAATTGTATGGGTAGTGTTGCTGGTAAAGCAGCAGGTGATTGACCTTATCAGCAGCGGTCAGTCTGGTCCAGGGTTTGTCTGCTCGCCGGTCGTAATCCTGAGCTTCTGCCACTTCCACATAATCACTGAAGCGGATGAGGATTTTAGCCTCTCGGAGCTCCTCTACAGTGGGTCTCTGACTCAGCTGACAAAACACAACCGACAACCGTCACTCATGTAGTCATCTACACACACACACACACACACACACACACACACACACACACAGAATCTGTGGATAATTTTTGACAATCCTGCAGAGACTTTTTGACAGATTTTGACAGTATAGTGACTAAAACTGAAGGGGGACCTATTATGCTTCTTTGTACAAGATGCAAAATGCATCTCTGATGTCTCTAGAGTGTGTGTGTTTGAAGTTTGAACTGAGAATAGCTCACAGATTATGTTCTCTAGCTCTGTGAAATTCACCCTTTCAGGCTTTGATCCTAATTATGGAGTTTTGGTGACTGTCGCTTTAAATTCAAATGAAATTGTATTCTTTTCAGAACAGGGCGGAGCTACAGACACAGACTAATGTCCTATGCTAATGAGGGAGAGATGGTTGCTAGTGGGCGGGGCTTTCCCTCTCTGATGACACGTACAAATGGAGAATGTCAATCAAAGTGTTTCTGCAGACTGTTTATATCAAGTCTGATTATAAACAATACAATTAATACATGTTCACTATTAGAGGCTGGATATATTCACACATTTCTGACACACAACTTCAATTCAATTCAGCTTTATTTGTATAGCGCTTTTACAATGTAGATTGTGTCAAAGCAACTTCACATAAATGGTCATAGTAACTGGATCAGGATAGTTCAGTTTTTAGTGTTTAAGTTCAGTTCAGTTTAGCTCAGTTCAGTGTGGTTTAAAGTCATTACTAAGAGTCCAAACACTGGAGAGCAAACAACTGTGTTTTAAGCCCATTATAAAAGTGATTTTTGCATAATAGGTGCCCTTTGAAACGTAAAGCAAAAAATAACCTTCATAATTTTAATAACTGTTGAATATCTACATTGCAAATCCAATTAGATCCACTTGTTTGGTAAACAAAGTAGGTCATTCATATACTATATATACATGGACTGCACAATATATTGTTTGAGCAATCTGTGTATATGCAGTAGTCACATTACAGGTTAGGATTTTTATTAAAGATTAACAGATAAAGATATTATTATTTTTAAATCATTTATATAATGGTGACCATGGTATTTTATGTTTGTTTTTTCAATATTTGTACCTGAATACTGTAAGACTTTCCAGAAAACAATAAGGCACTGTTTATTTTACTTTTATCTTTGCTCTGATTTATGTACATAAACCGGCCACTTTGTTAGGTACACCTTACTAGTACCAAGTTGGACCCCATTTGCCTTCAGAACTGCCTTAATACTTCATGGCGTAGATTCAACAAGATACTGGAAATAATCCTCTGAGATTTTGCTCCATATTGACATGATAGCATCACACAGTTGCTGCAGATTTGTCGGCTGCACATCCATGATGCCAATCTCCCGTTCCACCACATCCCAAAGCTGCTCTATTGGATTGAGATCTGGTGACTGTGGAGGCCATTTGAGTACAGTGAACTCATTGCCATGTTCAAGAAACCAGTCTGAGATGATTCACGCTTTATGACATGCTGCGTTATCCTGCTGGAAGTAGACATCAGAAGATGGAGACACTGTGCTCATAAAGGGATGGACATGGTCAGCAGCAATACTCAGGTAGGCTGTGGCGTTGATGCTCAATTGGTACTAATGAGCCCAAAGTGTGCCAAGAAAATCTCCCCCACACCATTACACCACCACCACCAGCCTGAACCGCTGACACAAGGCAGGATGATCCATGCTTTCATGATGTTGAGGCCAAATTCTGAGCCGACCATCTGAATGTGTCAGCAGAAATGGAGACTCATCAGAGCAGGCAACGTTTCTCCAATCTTCTATTGTCCAGTTTTGGTGAGTCTGTGTGAATTGTAGCCTCAGTTTCCTGTTCTTAGCTGACAGGAGCGGCACCCGTTGTGTGCTCTTCTGCTGCTGTAGCTTATCTGCCTCAAGGTTCAATGTGTTGTTTCTGAAATACTCAGAGCAGCCCGCCTGGCAGCAACAACCATGCCACGTTCAAAGTCACTTAAATCCTCTTTCTTACCCATTCTGATGCTCGTTTTGTGTGCACAGGTAAATGCATCGAGTTGCTGCCATGTGATGATGTGTGGCTGATTAGAAGTTTGCATTAACGAGCAGATGGACAGGTGTACCTAATAAAGTGGCCAGTGAGTGTATGCTTGTAAATTATTAGAACTCATGCATCAAAAAAGACCTGATCATTCCAATCTACTTAAATGAATAAAATCTTTAAAATAGAGCTATTCAGTTCATCTGGTGAAATTATAGTCATAATCTCAATATATAAATGGCAGAAAAATAATATATTGCAATGTCCGATTTTCCCAATATCATGCAGCTCTAATATACTGAAAGACCGTAAATATAACTTTACAAACTGCATTGTTACTAAATAATACAAACATCTGCATATTAGTTAACATTACTGAAATGAACATAAAAACTGAATAAACAAACAGTATTTACACACGTTTACATAATAAATAAACTTAATGATGGGCTAAAAAACCTGCAGACACAGATTCTGTGCCATGGGGACCAAAACAATGTCCACACAAGGTCAAAATTTACTAATACATATATGCTATTTGCCCACAACGTGATTAACACCAGGACACACACGCACACGCTTACTGATTCAGCCTCACCTTCCTGGAGAGCCTCTTCTTGAGCTCCCGTTTCTCCTCCAGCTCCTCCTGCTCATTACGAGCTGAAGCAGAAAACAACAGTAAACACACACACACACACACACATTTCAAAGCAGACTGACTGAGAAAAGGAAGAAGATGATGAAGATACATACGTTTGAGGATGTTCCTCTGCTCCAGCTCTTCTGCTGACGGCCTCTGACTGAGACGCCTGCACACACACACACAAACAGACTTCACTTACAGGACATACAACACTAATCCACTGCTATTTTTGTATTAATAGTTCTGTGAAGTGCATTTTTATTCGATGTTTGTCATACTCTCTAATAGTTGTTTAGGGGTTCTCAGCTTTATTGTCATAGGACAGTGGGGATTACAGACGGGAAAGCATGGGGAGCAGAGAGAGGATCGGCATAGGACTTCGAGCCAGGACAGCCATGTGTTATAGTCATGTGATAGGGGCTTGACGAATAAGGGAAGGATATGCAATGACACAAAAGCCCCAATCAGGTAGCGATTCTCAGCAGCCCCGCCTCTGTTTTCAGATGTGTCCGTTTTCCCTCATCCCCACTGAGACAGAGCAGCAGCGTTTTAAAATAAAAACAGGCTCTCCAGCGTTTCCAAAACGCTTCGTTTTCCGCACTCCGGCATAGTGTGGACGGATGGCGTAACCGTAGCAAAACCTGTAAACGGGGCCATAGTCCCTCCAGCGTCTTCCCTGAGGCCTCCTCCCGGAATTTCTTATTGCCACAATATATGGTCATGATAACATGATATCTGCCTTCAGTGATCTCCTGAAGATAAATACCAAAAAATAACACAACTAAAATAACTACAGCAGTCGCCATCGTCTGATCTCATATGAAGCAAGAGCTCATGATGACATATGACGACGTGTGCAGGAGCTGTAGTGCTGTCTTAGGCCCCATTTACACTAATGCGTTTAGTTTGAAAACGCATAAGTTTTGCTACGGTTACGCCATCCGTCCACACTACGCCAGAGTTTCAGTCTCAGTGTGGATGGGGAAAGACGGAGACATCTGAAAACGGAGGCGGGGCCGCAGACATTCGCCTCTCTGATTGGGGCTTTTCCTCAATATTAAGTAGCCCACACACAGTTCAGTCCTGCATTCTCTCCGTGTAAGTTCAGACTTCGCAAGTTTGATCAAGGCTGCATCTCTTCTTCTCAGTTTGATATGGAAAACAGTCTATACCGAGGACACGGGTAAATCTTCAAAGGGAACAGTGTACTTTATATCTTCATTCACATCACCCTGGCTTCGTTGTTTCACTTTCTCAACAATAAAATGTAAACATGATTTAAGGAACTGCCTATTTTCATTTTAACATTAGCAACTAAACAGACAGCAGAAATGTTGAGGCGTCGTGCTGCATATATGAGCGTCATCTTCACTGTGTGCATATTTATAACAAAACAGAGCCGATAACAACGGCCTCCTATCAATTTCAGTGAAAATACGAAACATACCCTCTCTTCTGCTGAATATCAGTTTAATAATCGATAATGGCCATTATAAAAGTATAACATACAATAAGTTTATACATTATAGGAAATAAAGGCAAGCGATCAGTCAATATACAGTATAGGCTACGTGCTTACATTAATCATTAACTTATCTTTGCGCTCAGCCAAAACACGTTACCTGAGAACAAGTAATAGATCCCAATGACCAAAGTCAGGGAATATGTCGTTAGATAAAGAAAACAAGATGAATGAAATATCACGTTTAATAAATATAGTGAGATTAGATCCAGCGGGAGATGCTTGATGAGAAGTCCGACTAGCAGAGCTCTCCTCTGGGTAGATGGGCTGCAGCACTTGCCAAAGAGTGTGTGTGTGTGGTCACGTGATGCGTGTTTCAGCGTTTTGGTGTGGACGGAGAGCTGTTCAGAAACGCTGGGTAAAACGCGAGTGTGGACGCGGATAGTTTTCATTCTAAAACGCCGTTTTAAAACTAAAACGCACTAGTGTAAACGGGGCCTCAGTTTTTAGGGGTGATTTTTGAAGTCCTTCCCCTTCACACTCGGTTGTAAGGGCTAAGGGGAAGGGGTAGGGGTACAAAAATAGAATTGGGATTGGCCCTTAATGAGTATTAATTAAATTAAAAGCCTTTAGCATGTTATTGGGAGTGCAGTGAGTGCAGTCATGTTTTGTGCAGTGTTGCTGGAATCTTGTCGCGAACATATTTTTTCATTTATTTAAAATATTTAACGTTAACATTTGTTTCAAGCAACAAAAATATTCTGTAGATGATTTCAGTTTTACTTTTAGTGAACTGTGTGTGTGTGTGTGTGTGTGTGTGTGTGTGTGTGTGTGTGTGTGTGTGTGTGTGTGTGTGTGTCTGTTCCTCTGACCGGGTGAGTTTGGTGCCGATCTGCTGTCTGGACTCGAGTCTCTCCTGGTCGCTCATCATGGGCAGGATGTTTTTATCCTCCAGTTCTCTCTTTGACGGCCGATTGCTCAGTTTGATCGCCAGAGAATCTTTCCGTAAGATCCTCAAAGCGAGTGTACCTGAACACACACACAGATTCAGCTCATGTAAGCACACAAACACACACTCAGATTTGATTTGTGAAAACATTCAGACACAGCTCATGTAAACGCACACACACAGATTCAGCTCAGATTCAACTCACGAAAACACACACACACACACACACACACACACACACACACACACACACACACACACACAGATTCAGCTCAGATTCAACTCACGTAAACACACACACACACAGATTCAGCTCATGTATGTACTCACAAACTCACACCCAAAAACATTCAGATTCACCTCATGAAAACACACACACACACACACACAGCTCAAGTAAGAACATACACACATGTGTGCACAAACACACACACATACACACTCATATTCAACTAATGTACACACGAACTCACGCACACACACACACACACACACACACACACACTCATATTCAACTAATGTACACACAAACTCACGCACACACACACACACACACACACACACACACACACACACATCTCATATTAGCAAAAAAAACACACACGTGCATGCACACACACAAACACACTCATATTCAACTGACGTACACACAAACTCACACACACACAAACACATTTAGATTTATCTCATGAAAACAACACACACACACACACACACACACTCATATTCAACTGACGTACACACAAACTCACACACACACAAACACATTTAGAATTACCCAATGAAAACACACACACACACAGCTCAAGTAAGCACACACATACATGCGTGCGTTCACACACACACACTCACACTCATATTTAACTGGCGTACACACAAACTTACACACGCAAACACATTCAGATTCACCTTATGAAAACACACAAACACACACAGCTAACGTAAGCATACACACACACTCATATTTGACTGATGTACACACACACACACACACACACACACAAACACATTCAGATTCTCATGAAAACACACACTGGATTCAACTCATGTAAGCACACACACAGCTCAAGTAAGCACATACACACACACACACACACACACACACACACACACACACACACACACGTGTCTGGTGTCCAGCTGTATGTTGTACTTGTAAACAGTGACTCGTCGTCATCCTCTTCCTCCTCCTCGTCCTCTTCCTCTCGCGTGCTAAAGGTGTGTGTGACCAGTGTGTGTGTGTGTGTGACGGCAGGAGTTTGGTGCAGTGATTCTCTGTTCTCCTTCTCCTCTTCAGTCTCCATCAGGACAGATGGCACCGCCTGCAGAACAGAGCTGCACACACACACACACACACACACGCAGTGAGTATGCCTGTTTGTACATGTGAGTGTGTGTTTGTACCAGTGTCTGCGTGTGTGTATATGTGAGAAAAAGTGTACGTGAGTGTGTATATGTGTATGTCCATGTGTTTTTATATATGTGGGTGTGTGTCTGTGTGTGTCTGTGTGTGTGCATTTGTACATGTGAGTGTGTATCTGTGTGTGTTTGTTTATGTGTGAGTGTATCTGTGTGTGTGTGCATTTGTACATGTGAGTGTGTGTGTGTGTGTGTGTGTGTGTGTGTGTGTGTGTGTGTGTGTGTGTGTGTGTGTGTGTGAGTGTGTGTGTGTGTGTGTGTGTGTGTGTTTGTGTGAGTGTGTGTGTGTGTGTGTTTGTTTATGTGAGTGTATCTGTGTGTGTATGCATTTGTACATGTGAGTGTGTGTGTGTGTGAGTGTGTGTGTGTGTGTGTGTGTGTGTGTGTATGTGTGTGTGTTTGTGTGAGTGTATGTGTGTGTGTGTGTGTGTGTGAGTGTGTGTGTGTTTGTGTGTGTGTGTGTGTGTGTGTGTTTGTGTGAGTGTATGTGTGTGTGTGTGTGTGTGTGTGTGTGAGTGTGTGTGTGTTTGTGTGAGTGTATGTGTGTGTGTGTGTGAGTGTGTGTGTGTTTGTGTGTGTGTGTGTGTGTGTTTGTTTGTGTGTGTGTGTGTGTGTGTGTGTGTGTGTGTGTGTGTGTGTGTGAGTGTGTGTGTGTGTGTGTGTGTGTGTGTGTGTGTGTGTGTGTGTGTGTTTGTGTGAGTGTATGTGTGTGTG